AGGAAACAACCAGGGCTCATGCCCCTTCCTCAAAGGGTCATTAAGTCGTTCATGATGAAACCTAGAAAGAGAAGTTGTTGAGGTTAGGCCACCAGGAATCATGACCAGAATCCACAAGGTTATGGCCACCACCTGATCCCACCAACAGGGAACGCGGGATGCCTTGACCTTAGAGACACATACATCCTGATTTCAGAGACACCATGATGTAGAAAAGGGCACATGGCAGAGTTTTTAAAATATCATGATAACTTCTCTCTCTCTCTCTCTCTCTCTCTCTCTCTCTCTCTCTCTCTCTCTTTCTGTCTCAGGATTTATGTGACGATGAAATGAAAATAAGTCTGTGATGGGCCCTGCCCACAGGCCCCCAGTGCCCAGCCCAGTGGTGGCCACTCCCTTGACATTGCTCAACTGTCCCCTGATTCCTTTCAGCCAGGGCATCGCCCTTGTTGCAGAGCAGGCTCAGGTTTATGGCGACAACGCTGCCCCTGCCAGACATGATCTCAAAGTCATAAAAACATTTTATGGTTTCACTCTCCCTGAGATAAGCTGAGGGAGCCCTTCCCAAGGCCAGGAGCAATCTCAGCACAGCGGGTGGGTGAGGGGGGGTGTGGGGTGTGGGGGTGCCGGGCGTTGTACGAGTTGGGGACTGGAACAAGTTTTATGGCCCCAATTTCTCTAAAAATGCCACGTTCTCATATCCTCAGCTTGACTCTGCAGGTGACACCTGGAGCTCGATGACACTCACTCATTCAGTGAATAGGGAATGTGTGAGGGACGCACCAGTGTGGACCTTCTCACCGCGCCATCATTATGCCTCCTGTGAACTGTGAACCCAGGGCAAGTCCCTTTCCCCAGGCGTAAAACAAGGAGAGTTCCTTTGACCCACCACAGCCTCACTGGGGTGACTGACTGTGAGGACGCCAGCACACCCAGCACATAGTAGGCCCTCATCAAAGGGGCTTAGTGCTCTTTTTCCACCATCTTCCTTCATCCTCCTCACTCTTTGCTGGCTCCTCCCCTTCTTTCCAGCCCTGATGGTGTTTTGGCCCAGAGCAGAGTCCTCCCCTCTAACCAGTTCGCTCTCCACACCCTCTCTTTAAATGTCCTCAAGCAACTAATTGATGACTTTTGCTTCCTTCCTTCCTTCCTTCCTTCGTTCCTTCCTTCCTTCCTTCCTTCCTTCCTTCCTTCCTTCTTTCTTTTCTTTCTCTCTCTCTCTCTCTCTCTCTCTCTCTTCCTTTCTTCCTTGGATTATTCTTCCCTTTCAGGAACGTGAGG